AAGAATAGATTATGGATTTTTGCAAGCAAGAGTATATAAAATTTTAAACATGTTGAGAATTTTCATAGACCATTTAAGAGTTAGAAGCCAAAAGTCATTCAGAGATATAATTGGTAAAATATGTTTTGCTAGCATTGAAACCAATAGTTAAATAAACTTTTCCTCATTCTTAAAAAATTAAAGTTGTTTTTTTTTTTTTTTTTAACATGGTGAAGGTAGAGAATCTAAGTGGTTTTTCCCGTTCCCAGGAATTAGTGTGATGACAGTCAAGTAGAATTAGGACATGAAAAGATTGGGCAGAAAAAGGCCTAATTACTTTAAGACTTGAACTCAAGTTGAAGAGATTTTTCATGTTATTCCAGACTTTAGGGGCTCTAGAAAAAAGCTAACCTTTGTTACTGTAAGATTAAGGGGTTGACAATAAGTACATAGTAAACATTTAATATAATACTTGCCAGACATTCTAAGCCCTTTCACATTTGTTTATTGTTGTTTCACATTTTTATATTGTTCTTTTCATCATTTTACATATTTATAAGGAACAAGAAGTATCCTGCCAAGTTTATAGTTACCCAGATGATAATGGTGGTCTAATATCTTCTCACATGTTGTATCAGAAAGGCTAATGTGTAAATGATCATTCAAAAGCAGCTGACTTGCTAGGTTTCTAGTAGAGATCTTCCAAGGATCCTGACTACTAGCAAAATTTTTTATATTTTAATTATCAAAAATAACATCTACCTGGATTCCACCTCTTGGGTCCCCTTCTTCCTCCGGGAGAAGTCTTTTCTGCTGTCCTTTAATAAACTTCTAATTTCTACTCTGAAAAAAAAAAAAATAACATCTACCTCCTGTCTCATTTTCCTGTAGCTCAAAATTAATATTTAGATAGGTCCTAAATGTACATCATTTAGCTTCTTATCTATTAATGCCTGCTTTACATTTGGCTTAAGTATGGGATAGAATGTTGAGTATTTGTTTTTGAATATGTGCCAGGACCAATGAAAATTTTTTTTTCCATTTTTTCATACCTTATTGTAAATTGTTCTGTTATTTGTCAAATATAACTTATTAAACTGCATAAAAGTTTTAAATGTATTTCAGATTCACTTGATTGATTTCAGTAATTAAAAAAAATTCTGGATATATAGTAGTTTAAGGTGTGTATTTGTCATTTTATCTCTAGGCTATAGCTGTTTGTATGGAAAATGGCAGTTTTAAGGAAGCAAAAGAAGTCTTTGAAAGAATATTTGACGCAAATTCTCACACGGTAATTGTCTAAACTGAAATCATAGAATTTTAGAAAAAAATTGTCATTTTCACATTAAATTGAAGTATTATTGATATTTTATATTCCCCTTTTTAAAAATCAAGTCTTCTAAATCTGTTGTGTACTTTATACGTTTAATATGTCTAAATTCAAACTAGTCACATTTCAAGGAATCAGCAGTTATGTGTGGCTAGTAGCTACCATATTAGGCAACCCAGGTATAAAGAATGCATTTTAACTTGCTTATTTTTCCACAGTTATTTTTGTGATTATTAGTAATTTGCCTGTGGATAATGTTAAAGTCAGTAGAATTTTTTTTTTTTAATATTAAAAGCATAGTATTTTTGGAGTGAATTAACATTCAAAGAAAAATGGATTTATATGTTTTCAGTAAAATTTTTACTGAACAGGGCATATCTCTAGAAGAGTACATGTATATAAGCAGCTGTGATTTTACAAAAGGAATATGTTTATGTGAGGAGCCTCTAGATCAAAAAACAGAACCTTAACAGCATCTTCCAGTCACTTGAGGAAGTAGTTACCTTCTCGGGTATAACTACTACCCTGGCTTGTACCACCAAAGATTGGCTTTACTTTTTCTGAACTTATGATGGAATTATATAGCAAGTTTATATTTGTAAGATTGATCCATGTTGTTGCTTATAATAATAGTTTGTTCACTCTCATTGTTTCATCATATAAATATGCTATAATTTATTCATTTTACTGTTGAACATTTAAATTATTTCCAATTTTTGGCTGTAGCATACTTTTTGGGTTGTTTTTTTTTTTTTTGAAGTACTGGGGATTAAACCCAGGAGTGCTTTACTGCTGAGTTACATTCTCAGCAATTTTTAATTTTTAAAAAATTTTTGAGATAGGGTCTCACTAAGTTGCTTAGGGCCTCACTAAGTTGCTGAGGCTGGCCTTGAACTTGAGATCTTCCCATCTCAGCTATGAGTCACTGGGATTTCAGGCATGCACCACAGCGCTTGGACAAAGTTCTTTAGTTTTTTATTGTGCATCCAGCATTAAAAGAATTACTACTGAAGAAAAACTTGTAATATACTCAAGAAGATACGAAGAAAAATGTTTAGAAGCATTGCAATAATGACCAATAGCCTAAATCCTCAACATGCTGGAACAGTGGGTGAACAAATGATATTTTTGATCAAATAGTACTATACAACTGTGAAATAAGTAGTTCTACAAACGTCAAACATTCCCATTACTAGGAAAAAAGTTTGATAAATTGTAAAATCATGTTGCTAAAGACATGGAAGCAATGAGAATGAGATGTGCTAAAATTCTAATCACTAGAAATTAAAAGAGACAATAAAAGTTGAAAAATCCCGTTATAGATAAAACACTAATATATTTTTTCCTTTTTACCATCTCCTTTCCTTCTCAGTTTTTCAGTATTTGATGTTTTAGACACATAAACATTATTTAACTTTTAATTGTTCTTTGAATTATATATTATTATAAAGTGCTTGTTTCCAATTAAATAATATGATGAATTCTTTTGTATTTGGAATTTGTTTGTGTGGCATATTATTAATACATTTTTTTCTATTTCCTTTAGCCTTTAGAAAGGAAATTGCTTATGATAATCTCTCAGAAAAATACATTCCATTCCATTTTTCAACAGTTCAGCTACAACCACATGATGAAGAAAATTAAGAGTTATGTGAATTATGTGCTTAATGAAAAATCATCAACTTTTCTAATGAAGGTATGCGTATTCAGAGAGTCTTAACAATAGACTTAAGAGAAATTCTTAAAGAATAGTTGAAATAGCCTTAAAAAAACAATCAGAATTTTGCTGGGCATGGTGGTATATGCCTGTAATACCAGCAACTCAAGAACCTGAGGCTGGAGTTTTGGATGTTCAAGGATAGCCTCAGCAATTTAGCAGGGCCAAAGCAACATAGCAAGACCCTGTCTCTAAATAAAATATAAAAGGTGTTGAGGGGGTGTGGCTCAGTGATTAAGTAGCCCTGATTTCAATCCCCAGTACCTAAAAATTGAATCAGAATTTTGTGTAGTGGTTTTGTAGAAGAATGTGGTAAAGTGTTACAATTTATGAACCTTCTAAAAGGGTTTTATAGGTGGTCTTTGTAGTATTTTTGCAACTTTTCAAAATCAGAGTTGCATCCAGGCATTATGACTTATGCCTGTAATACCAGCTGCTCTGTGAGGCAGGAGGAACACAAGTTCATGGCCAGCCTGGGAAATGTAGTGAGATCTTTAAAATAAAAAAATTTTGAAAGATCAGAATAAGAGTTGGGGAAAATTTTAAAACTGTGTTATTAAGAGGAAAACTTAAAATGAATTAAGAAAAGTGAAAGCACATATTTAGTTTTATTGCCAGTAAATTTTAAACATTTTGGGAAAAGCAAAATCGGATTGAATAGGGATTCCCAGCCCCCACCCTTCCTACCCCACTCCCCCAATGATGGGGATCAATCAGGGCCTCACACATGCTAGCAAGCACTTTGCCATTGAACTATACCCCAGTCCTTTAAAATATTAAGTAACATTTTTTAAAAATATTAAGTAACTTTTTAAAAAAATATTAAGTAACATTTTTAAAAAATATTAAGTAACAGTTTTATTCTATCTTGGCCACAAAACATTTTAAGTTATTTATTGTGCATCCAGCATTAATTTGTTGCTGGATTAATTTGAGGGAATTTTATTTCAAAATAATGGATTTTTTTTTTTAGTAGCTTTTGGTCTTAAAATTGCCTAGAGAGGGCTGGGGATGTGGCTCAAGCGGTAGCATGCTCTCCTGGCATGTGTGCGGCCCAGGTTTGATCCTTAGCACCACATACAAACAAAGATGTTGTGTCCGCTGAAAACTAAAAAATAAATATTAAAATTCCCTCTCTCCCTCCCTCTGTTCATCCGACCCTCCCTCCTTCTCTCTCTTTCTCTCTCTCTCTCTCTCTCTCTCTCTCCTTTAAAAAAAATTGCCTAGAGATCAGTATGTCTGTCAAATATATTTACAAGGAAAGATCCCCTCCATAATGCTTTTCCAAGCAGGTAGCTAAAATAGCTGCCAGCATTACTATAATTATTGGTGAGAGCCTTGCACAGTGGGGCATGGCCTATAATTCCAGCAACTCAGGGGCTATAGCTCAGTGGTAAAGTGCTCCAGCTCAATTCCTAGTAACCCCACACACACACACACAAAAAAAAACCCTATTGGTGAAAATAGTAACATGATACCCTTTATTGTTCTGTGAACAGATATTTGCCCATGATTATTGGCAAAGAATTAACAGAGTTATTTAAATGTTATTTGTTTTAAATAACCTAATGTGTTCTTTCCTCTTCCTTTCTTCTACACAACCCTCTAAGGCAGCAGCAAAAGTAGTGGAAAGTGAAAAATCGAGAAAAATAACTTCTCAAGATAAACTTAATGGTAATGATATTGAAATGGAAACTGAAGTCAATTTGGATAAAGTAAAAAGGTTTGTAAAGTCACTAATTTTTTTTGTCTTATAAACGATCCTTGTTTATGCAAAAGTGATGCCATTGAGCCATTATTATTAAGAATAATAAGTTCTAAATGTGTAATCTTACTAATGATTAACATTGGCTTTTTGAAGTACCATAGAGTTAAAGCATGACATACACAAATTATATATTCTAAGCAAAAATAGGGAATGAGAAAATACTATGGCTTAAATAATGTAAGTAATTTCATTTATTCTCAGCAAAGATGTGCTGAGAAAACTAGATTGAGGTTGGAAAGTTGAATCATTTGTGCCCCTTAGTTCTATTCATAACCCACATACCTTCATTATGTGACTCAATTATGCACTAAGAATTATTCTAGTATTTTTAAATATTGTTCATATGTCTTCTCAAGGGTAAGCTGATAGTTCAGATGATGTTCAGCTAAAGAGCGAGTAATTTGCTCTCTCACTGGAGAGAAATAGGTTGTATTAGTCCTAAGTATTGAGAGACAGTAGTTTGTTTTACCACCACTGAATTACATCCCCAGTCCAAAGGTAATTTTTTACTTTTTGCATTATAAGCTAACCCTATTGAAGAAAGTGCAACTCAAATCATTAAAAAGATCTTTTCTGTTAAATCTATAGTCTACCTGGCACAATGATGCACTCCATTTAATCCCAGAAATTCAGGAGGCTAAGGCTAGGGCAGGTGATGATGAGTTTGGGGCCAGCCTAGGCAACTTAGAAGACCCACAAAATAAACATTTTTATAAAGAGCTAAGAATGAGATTCATCAGTGAAGCACCCCTGGGTTGTGTTCCAATACCACAAAATAAACAAGCACTCAGTGTTTGTTCCCTTTGTGCTTCCAACCTTAATTCAAGGCCAGATAGTCTCATTCAGAGTCTCTGTGATTTCTGGATGAATATATTTGGCAACAGAAATATTATTATTTCTTCTTGGGACCACAACTTGAGTGTTTAATTATTTACTTAGAGATAGGTATTGGGATTCTAGTTGGATATATACTGCATTGGTAACACCTCAGGACTGAGGCTTAGTCTTCTTATAGTGTTTCCTTTTATTGTTCCTGCCCATCAGAGAATGGCCTATCCCTCATTAGTTCATCTTGGTCTTATTTATCATTTGACTTTTTTCTATGATCCATTTTGAAAAGTAGAGATTGTATTTTTATTGGATACATTATTTCATTTTGTTTAGAAAAATCAAGGTTTAATGATTCTAAAACCCCAAACATCCTTGAAGCCAGGCCTTCCTTATTTTATGATGTAATACTATCATAAAATAAAATAAAATAAAAACTTATTCCATGGTTCTTGCAGATAATGAGCACATTTCCTATATTCTTTCCTTATATAGTATACCATTCACTTATTTCTGATGTTCTCCTAGACTGAATTCAGTGTGTGTATAGTTCTTCATGTTCTCATCTACCTTTCTGCTGCGTCCTGTCCTCCACCTCATAAATCCAGGTGTCTCTTGTATTAAGAATCTCATCTCAGAAATATTTCTCTAATGTGTTCTTTCTCTTTTTTTTTTTTTTATACTGGGGATTGAACTCAGGGGCACTCAACACTGAACCACTGAGTCACAATCCTAGCCCTTTTTGTACTTTATTTAGAGACAGGGTCTCACTAAGTGCTTAGCGCCTTGCTTTTTGCTGAGGCTGGCTTTGAACTTGTGATCCTCCTGCCTTGAGCTGCTGGGATTACAGGCGTGTGCCACAGTGTCCAGCCTCTCATCTCCCTTTTTTTTTTTTAATATTTATTTTTTAGTTGAAGTTGGACACAATACCTTTATTTTATTTTATTTTCATGTAGTACTGAGGATTGAACCCAGGGCCTGGCACATGTTAGGCAAGCACTCTACTGCTGAGCCATAACCCCAGCATTCATCATTTTTATCATAGATTATTACATAGAATTCTATCGCATAAATCCAACCTTGACATAATTCCCAGAATTAGCTTTCACAAAATCAGATGTTTAAATCATTTCCCAGGTTAAAAACCTTTTGGCTCGTGTTTCCTACTAAATGTGTCAGAATTTATTGGCATGGCTTACAAAGCTTTATATGGCCTTGTTTTTTGCTTTTGTTTTGTTTTGTTTTTCAGAAGTCCCCTTGTATCCATAGTTTCACTTACAGGTTGTCAACCATGATCTATAAATATTAAATGGAAAATTCCAGGAAAAATTCAGAAGTCTTATATTGTGTGTCTTTCTGAGTAGCATGATGAGATCTTGCATCTTCCTACTGCACCCTTCTCCTCTCTCCCAGGCAGGACATGAATCATCCTTTTGTCCAATGTATCCATGCTATATTCACTATATACCCATCATTCATTTAGTAGCCATCTCAATTATCAACTGACATTTGTAATATTGCAGTATTTGTATTCAGGTAACCCTTATTTTACTTAAAAATAGCCCCAAAGGGCAAAAATAATGATGTCCCAATTTAGATATCCCACAAAGAACCCAGTAAGTGCTTTCTTTAAATGTCAGCTTAAATGAAAGCTATTGACCTAATAAGGAAAAGAAACACTGTATGTTGACCTTACTAAGTAAGAACAAATCTATCCATGAAAAAAAAAGAACGTTATACTAGTTTTGCTGTCTTACCTCAGATTACTGCTACAGTGCTTGGTAGATTCTTACTTTATAAGGTTCAGTACTGTCCACTTTCAGTCATCTGCTTTGAGGCCTTGGAACTTAAAATTAATCTTGGTGGGTAAAGAAAGGGGGGATGTGCTGTATACTGTACTTTGGCTTACAACATGTTAACCTTCAAACAAATCATATTTCTTTGCCCACAAATTTAAAGTTTGAGGTAAGACAGCAAAACTAGCCTAAAGTTCTTTTTTTTTTTTTTCCTGCACTATTTCATGGATAGATTTGTTCTTACCTTAAAGTTCGTCATGAGCAATTTGAGGTACAATAGAAAGACTAACATGAATGTTTTGGTCTTTCTGTACAATTTGACAGCTAGAATATTTGTTTTTACATTAGAACTCAATAGTGTTGGCATATGATGTTTTTCTTGCCAAGTTGAGAGCTTTTGCTTTTTTTATTGAAAGGCTAGATGCTGTATGGCTTCTCTTTGGCACATTCAAAATGCCAAATCACTACGTTTTGTGCTTCAGGTTCATTATTAAGGAAAAAGGGTTACTTGAGGGGCTGTGGGTGTAGCTCAGTTGTGAAGTTCCTGCCTAGCATCTACAAGGCCCTGGTTTAGATCTTTAACATCACAAATAAAATAAAGCTGCATTTAAAAGAAATGGGTGTGATGATGCATGCCTAAACTCCCAGCTACTTGGGAGGCTGAGGAAGGAGGATCACAAGTTTGAGACCAGCTTTGGCCACTTATCAAGACCCTGTCCCAAAAAATAAAAAGGAATGGGGATGTAAGTCAGCGGTAGAGCTCCCCTGGGCTCAATCCCCAATAACACACCAAAAAAGGTGGGGGTTGGCAGGGGGTATTTATACACTGCTTTGATAAGTGACTGATGGGTAAGTAGCATATATAGCATGGATATACTGACAATAGGCTAGTTCATGTCCCATGCAGAACAGCAGGGAGAATGTGAGATTTCAACATACTACTCAGAAAGGCATGTAATTGAAATCTTAATATACATTCAGCAGTTTTCTATTTAATATTTTTGGACTGCTGTATACCGGTTGTATCGGATAAGAGAGAACTAATGGCTCAACTATGGTATATGGTTTCAAATATTCATTAGAGACTTTGGAATATACCTTTGATGGAAAAAAGGGGGCCACCACATAATCTCATTCTTAAGTGTTATCCCCCTTTGTGCCCACATGCTTGAAACTTTCTAGAAGCACAAAATTTATCACTGATCTTAAAATGCTACCCTGTTCCCTTGCTTAGTTTCTTCTATTTTGGATTCCCTTCTTTTTATTCCCTCTAAGGCAGGCTGTTATTTGTTGTTCAAGATCTACTTTGCAGATCACCTATACAAAGTCTTGCCTAGCTCTGATCAGAGTTATTACTTCTGGGTTCCAATGGTACCAAGTCACATCTGTAAAAAGCACTTACCTTAGATTGTAACTTATTTGTTTACCTGTTTGCATCTGTCATTAGTCTTTAGAATTCTTTGAAGGTTCTTTTGTGGCAGAGGCTAGGATGGAGGCTGGTTCTGGGCAGTGTGCTAAGATTGAGGCTGATTCTGGGAAATGCTTAGGATTGAACCAACCGAGTTAAATCCCTTGCTCTCCTTCTGAAGGTTCTTATTAGTCTTGAAGCATCTTAATTGGCTTGGTAACCTTGGTTACCAAGGTTGTATTAGAACTATTAGTCCACTAGTTACAGGGATTAAAATAAAAATTAGAGACAGGATAAAGATCAGTAACCAAGCAAACATCAATATTATCTTGTAAGCAGAAACAGGGCAAATAAAGCATTAAACCACAAGTTTCAGAACAGCAGTCAACGGGATGCAAATGAAACAAGCATAGCATCAGAAGTATGATTGTGAGGTCAGACAAATGTTAGAAAAATCAAATAAATGTTCTTAAAATAAAATCAAATGAATATTCTTAACTACCTTCCTTGAAGACTCAGAAGTGCTTTGTGACATTTTATAACTTATTAATAACTCTTATATTTGAAAGAACTGAGTGCTTTACATTTAAAATGTACACTGTTAATAAAAGATTAATTCTAAAAAGAAAAAAAAAACTCTCCTTAAGACTAGATGGAATAATGTTTTGCTATGGTAAAGCTTTTAATCTATTTGAGGCATCAACAGTTATTGGCAGGAAACAGCAGAAAATCTATAATTTGTTGCTAAAGTCTTTAAATAGACCTCAGTGCTGAAGGAATTGAGATAGACTGCTTTGAAGAGGTATTAGTTTTGAGCAGGGACTTGAAGGACGGTTGAGATTTTTCATGAGTAGATGGAAACGTTACCTCAGAAAAGAGGAGTAGAAGCAGTGAAGGCATGGAGAAGAAAATGGTCATGCTATATTTTGGAAGCTATTTCAACTATAACAAAGGGGTATTTATTTAAAAGTTCAATTGGAGACTTGGCAGGATCAGAAATTAAAATTTAATTATTTGAATTGTATACATTAAACACAAAGCAGTATTTTTTGTAAATCGATCATACCTCAATAAAACTTTTCTTAAAAACTTGAATTCATGGAAATAAGGGCCATGGAAACTTTTTTAAGAATGATATTATGAATGAAAGCATTAAATGCTTAATGTTTGAAGCTTGATATATGCCTTATGCCTCTTATAAGCACATCTGGATAACCACATCTGGGCAAAAATTAACCATGTTGTAACGGACTATGTATGTCTTAATGTTACCAGGCTTTCTTTCCAAAGATATTTTTATAATTCGAAATGTGACTTGACTCTGTGGAAAGTGCTATCTTTAGGCAAAATTGCTTTTATTTACATTCTTACAAATTTTTTCTTTTTTTAAAGTGTTAGTGACAAACAGTCTGCGGTAACTGAATCCTCAGAGGGTACAATATCCTTATTGAGGTGAAGTAAATTGATGTTTTTCTTCTCTGTCTTTAAAAGTCATTGATTGAAACAATTCATGCAGACTTAAATATGTTATTATAACTGCTATGTAAATGGTATGATTAAAAGTATCTCGGAGTTCTGCTTACCTCAACAAATCCTCAAGACCCTGATATGTCTTAAAATTTCAAATTAGAGACCTACTTCTGGAATCTGGGTTGTTTTACATTGTTTCAACAAGGCCATTATTGGAATAATATATAGGGAGTACTTGAGCTTAAATCAGGTGTTCAGTAAACTTATTCTGTCATAGAAACAAAGATGTGATACTGGGGCAGGAAGGGAATAGGGGAAACATATCTGATAAATGTTCCATATTCCAGTTTAACGAAGTTACTTGAAAAACTGGTTTTGATCTAGAAATGCAGTGACAGACGATAAATATGAGAGTCTGCATGAACGGTTTCAGAATAGAGTAGTTGGGATGCTTGATGAAACCATGGGAGAGGGTGGCTAATATGGTGTGGAAGAGATTGTTGAAGATGAGGATTTGAGAAGCCAGGATGTTCTATGATTTGTCCACAAACACTGAAATTATTCATAATGGCAGCACTTAGGTGTAGAAAATGGTCCATGAATTATAGGAAGTTCTTTGAGGGATAGTGAGTGGCTATAGAGAATTGATAAAAAGTGATATATATCAGGAGCTTGATTCCTCAAGAACTGAGACTTCTAGGGAAACAGGCTCCTGAACATGGTACCCATTGGTAAATGAAAACTGTATTGGGGTTATGGATGTAATTCAGTGAGGAATTGCTTGTCTAGCATGTGTGATGCTTTGAGTTTGATCCCCAGCACAGGAAACAAAAGAACAATAAAAATACTAAAATACTATGAAGATCCACCTCTAGGAACCTGTGGCTTATAGAAAGTGGAAGATTAAGCCAGTCTCCACTTGAGAAAGCCACAAAGAAGAGAAATGTCCCAAAAGAAGAGCTAGATTTTAGATAAGGCAGAGATAGAGAAACTAGTGAAGCCATTGAGAATGGCATTCCAGAGAGCACAAGAAAAACTTTTGGGAGAGAGAAAGAGGGGAAGTATCATTAACTGGAATAGAGTATTTGTAGGGATAGCAATGTAGCAGAGCCTACGTTTTAGTTAGGTGTAGATAATATAGCTGTCTAAGCTCAGGCACTCTGCTTTTTGAATCCTTTATTAAATGAGTAATACCAACTTTGCAGGGTTGTTAAAAATATATATAAATATATAAACATGTAATATATCAATCACATCCTATAATTTCAGACAGCCTGTGTCTGCTATCATATAAAGGAATTTTGGAAATTCTTTTTTGGGGAAATAAATTCAGAAGCCATAGGGAGAATGAAAGTTGGAGGGTTTGATTTTCCCACCCTCTTGATCTAATTGGAAGGCCAATAGAGTCTTGATTTCTGAGAAAAGAGATGAAAGAGGGAAGTCTGACAACAGAAGTCTTAAGAAACCAAAAGTTAACATGGAGCACTAAACAAGGAGAGCATGGAAGGAAGCAGGCCAAAGTAGAAGATCCTAGAACAGAGATAGTGATAAATCATGTACCTTTTCCTCCCTATCTTTACTAGTCTTTCTGGAGTCACATGCTTTCACTTTTTGTTTAGGTCTCACAAGAATCTCTTCATATCCAAATTGAAACATGGAAGCTGGCAGCAAAACTTTAATGAGAAAAAGGAGAGAGTAGAAACTCTTCAAAGTAAGTACTATTACTGTAGTTTTAGATTTGGAAAGATGCTGTGTTCTCAGAAATGATCCTCAAAGTTGAGGTCACCCTGCAACATACAAAACACTTCAGAAAACAAGAGAACAAAGAATATGATAGTTACTTGAGATGATACTTAATTTAGAAAGTCCTGAATGCTTAAAGTTCTTTTGCTTGTAACATAGTAACATAGTAAAACTTGTTTTCTACCTTAAGTGTATTCATCATCTTCACCTTCAAGTAATTACTTTCTTGAGACACAAATACACTCAGATTTCATTATTCACAGATAATTATAAGTCTTGAGAGCACTGAATTAACAGATACTGAATCATTATCCCTAGGAGAAATACAAAGTTAGATTCCTCTGAACCTTTCACCACAACTTTTTTTTTTTTAACCAACTGATTAATACATAACCTTGTTTTATGTATTGATCAGTTGTTAGAAAACACTATTAAACACTATTAGCTGTTAAGAAAGGCACTTTATTATTAACATTGAGTTACCGCCACCAGCACTACAATGCAAGCCTTGATGAACTTTGTGTAACATCTATTTTTCTGTAAGGTGCATCACAGCCTTCTTGCTCTGAGAAACACTAGACAGCATTTCCAGATTTAAAAATATGTCACTAAATCAACCACAAAAAAGACACGTCTACCAATGGATCTGGAAACTTCCATGAGTATTGATTTTGAAGTTAGACAAATTTTAGAGAACAGATAAATTTAGAAATAGAATCTGAGGATTGACCATATGAAGAACCTATATATCCCATATATTTTCCTTACTACTACTTTTTTTTTGATGCCAAGGATTAAACCCAGGGGAACTTTACCACTGAGCTACATCCGCAGCTCTTTTTTATTTTGAAACAGGGTCTTGGTAAGTTGTTGAGGTTGGTCTTGAACTTGCAATCCTCCTCTCAGCCTCCTGAGTTGATGGAATTACAGGTGTGTGCTGTCATACCTGGCTTGGATAGCTTCTGAAAACTGGTCTGAAATTATTTTCAATTTAAATTTGATTATCAGTTCCTTCTTGATGTGTATTCATTTAACAAAAATGCATTGACCGATATTTTATTCTAGGCACTGTATTAATGGAGAAATTAATGTAAATTATTTAGGTGTAAACCTAAATATTAGGTCTACACCTTTATTGATCAGAATAAAAAATAAGAGATTTAAGAAAATTAGACTTGTTTTCCATGCTCATAAGTTACCAACTGAATACTCGGCACAGTAAGTAGGCCTGCAATAAATATTATTAAATAAATTTATTCAGATCTGATACCTGGTGACATGTCCAGTATTAGCTAATATTTGTGAATATAGTGCTAAAACACATTTGTAAGTACTGTCATCACTCTCATTTTAAAGATGAAAAAACTGAAACTCCATTATTTTCCTAATGTTGGTAAATTCCAAAATCGAATTTCTTCATCTGTTACTACAGAATGTCTCAAAATTATAATTATAAACTAGAATAATGTGAGCCTTTTCTTGGGTTTTTAATATCATAATACAAAATTCAAGTAACAGTAAACACACACTTGTTGATGCTCAACAAAGCTCATCAGTAGTTAAACTCTGAAGACTATAACCTTGTTTCAGAGGGGTTTACAGTGACTGTGGATATTGAATCTATAAGGTCTTGTGATTTTTAACATTTTAAAAATCTAGTTTACTTAAATAGTACCAAGTGTCCTCTCAACTAGAGGATATTAGTTTGGTTATGAAAATGTTTTCATTTTTTTTAAATGAATTTTGGGTGCCATCTTTGATAGCACAAATATAAAAACAAATATTTGGTTTATAAAATTGATAAACTACTTTGGAAGAAAATCAAATATTTCAGAAAAGTTGAAAGAAAAGAATCATCCAAATTCCTTCTATGCAGAAAAACTTCACCAGCATTTGGCAAGTAATCATTACTATTTGTGTTAAAAGTTCTTTATATAGAATTCATTTAATATTTAAATCTACCGTTTTTATCAAGGTAGAAGTTGAAATAAAAAGAGGTTAATTAAAATTAAAATTCCCTTGGCTATATCGTATGTGAGCAGAACCTTAGACTTTCAGACTTTAGGCAGACCCATGTCCTTAAAGGTTAGAAAAATATTACCAGGTTACATGTTATCTACAAATATGTTTATATATAATTTTTTAAAGTAGATCTGAAGGATTCAGTGAATTTCAAATACTGTTTCATAAGAAGCATCACTATATGAGCTCTCCAAAATCAAGAATAAATATGAAATGCTTTGAAAGGCTGGGTCCAGTTGCATCTACAAATATAAATTTAAGCCTTGGCTGTTGATTGGTTTTTAGCAAAAATCTGTCCCACCAATGCCCATTTTTCTTAACATTTTATGTAATCAAGATTTGTAACCTGTTTTGTAGCCATAATTCCTGTAAAAGTTTGATCGTATTTAAATTGATCTATTTACGAAATCCTTCTACCAAGATTCCCTTAATCCTTAGCTCTTCATTTTATTTATTTTTGGGCTGGATTTTTAAAAAATGGCTTATAGACAGTATAATTTCTAAATTCATGCATGTCCAAGAACGTCTACTCTTTTTTGCTTAGAAGAAAATGTAGGCCCAAATCTCTCTTGTCAGTGTAGGAACTGAATTCTTCAAGTCTCCTAAAGCACAAGAAGTAAAATCAAGAATCAATAAATGTATGGTATCAAACTAAAAACAAAGGAAACAATCAAGAATGTGAAAAGAGAGCCTACAGAATGGGAGAAAATCTTCGCCACCTGCACCTCAGATAGAGCATTAATCTTCAGGATATATAAAGACCTCAAAAACCTTAACACTTATTCAGTAAATGGGCAAACGAACTAAACAGACACTTCCAGAAAAGAAAAATACAGTCAACAAATAAATGAAAAAATGTTCAACATCTCTAGCAATTAGAGAAATGCAAATTAAAACTATACTGAGATGTCATCTCTTCAGTCAGAATAGCAGTTATCAAGAATACAAGTGACACTAAATGGTGGTAAGGATGTGAGGAAAAAAGAACACTCATACATTGCTGGTGGGAGTACAAATCGGTGCAACAATTATGGAAAGCAGTATGGAGATTCCTCAGAAAACTTGGAATGAATCCACCATTTGACCTAGTTATCCCACTCCTCAGCATATATCCAAAAGATTTAAAATCAGCATATTATAGTGAAACAGGGCACATCTTTATAGCAGCTGAATACATATTAACTAAGCTATGGAACCAATGTAGGTACCCTTCAGCAGGTAAGTAAAGAAAATGTGGTATATCAACATAATGGAGTTTTAATGAGCCATAAAGTAGAATGAAATTATGGCATTTTCTGGTAAATGGATGGGACTGGAAACTATTGTGTTAAGTGAAATAAGCCAATCCCCCAAAAAATGTTCTCTGATATTCGGATGCTAACTCATAGTAGGTGAGGGTAGGGTGGGAGTGAGAGAAGAGTGGAGGTACACTGGGTAGACAATGGGGAGTGGGGAAAAGGGAAAGAGAATGGGAATGGAAAAGACAGTAGAATGAATTGCACATAACCTTCCTATTTTCGTATATGAATACACAACTAGCATAACTCCATATCCTGCACAAACATAAAAATGAGAAGTTATACTCCATGTATATGATATGTCAAAATACATTCTACTGTTGTGTGTAACTAAAAAGAAAAAAATTAAGAAAATAAGATTTACCTACATATAATATTTTCCAGGAATACTTTTTTCTCACAGCTTTGTAAACTTTGATTCAAGTGCTACTGTGGTCAAGTCTGAGGTTAATCTGACTTTTCCCATAATTATGTATAGGTGTTTCTTTTTTTCCCTACATGCTCAGATAGTCCTAATATTATTGTCTGTTTTATGCTATAAATCCCTTTTTTCTGCTTTAGTTGTACTCACAAATTTCATGTTGGATTTTCATTTAGTTCAACGTATTTTTTTCATTTCTGTTGAGAGACTTTTTCTTGGCCCTATGGATTATTTTGAAGTAGTTTGTTTAACTTCTAAATAATTTAAGGATCTTATACATGTCTTTGTGTGATTGATTTTCATTTAATTCTGGTCTAGTCTGAGAAGGTACTTGTAGCATTTTTATTTTATAAAAGATTTTTTTATGGTCCAGAATATGGTTTCTCTTGGAGACTCTTTATGTATACCTGAGAAGAATAATGGCCCCTGAGCATCCTGCAGTTTTGCTATTATTATGGGGTGTTTTAAAATGTCAGTTAGACTATGTGTGGTGGTGCATTCCTGTAATCCCAGCATCTCAGGAGGCTGAGGCAGGAGGATCACAAGTTCAAAATCAGCCTCAGCAAAAGTAAGGCGCTAAGCAACTCAGTAAGACCTTGTCTTGAATAAAATACAGAATAGGGCTGGGGATGTGACTCCGTGGTTTAGTGCCCCTGAGTTCAATCCTCAGCAGTGTCCCCCCTCCCCCCCCAAAAAAAAAAGTCAGGTCAAGTTAATACGCTACTCAAATATTCAATATTCTTACTCCTTTCCTGCCTACATGTTCTACTGGTTACAGAGAGGTGTTGAAATCTCCGAACTATAATCCTCAATTTGTCTGTTAATACATATTTATCTGTTAACTTTTAATTCCTTTTTTACTTTTTTTAGCCTTCTAGTATCTGTTTAAACAATTTTTCCAACCAGGCATAGTGGCACACACCTATAATTCCAGTATCTCCCAGAGACCAAGGCAGGAGGAAGCAAAAGTTCAAAGCCAGCCTCTGCAACTTAGCAAGACCCTGTCTCAAAGTAAAATATGAACAGGGCGGGGCTGGGGATGTGGCTCAAGCAGTAGCGCGCTCGCCTGGCATGCGTGTGGCCTGGGTTCGATCCTCAGCACCACATACAAAGATGTTGTGTCCACCGAAAACTAAAATAAATAAATAAATATTAAAAAAAAAAAAAAAGAACAGGGCTAGGGATACAGTTTAGTGGTTAAGCACCCATGGGTTCAATCCCTGGTACCAAAATAAATAAATGAATACATACATCACATTTCTAGTACCTTGGTCCATTCTTGCAACGATGCTATGCTAGTCTCATTATTTTATTTTATTTATTTTTGCAGTGCTTGGAATTGAACCCAGGACCTTCTTGGTCACTATTGTTTCAATTACTGTAGTTACTTGTAATAACCAAATATGTGGTAGATAGTATTCTTCTTCAGGATTGTTTTTCTATTATAAAGTAATTTGGTCTTCCATATTGTCAGTTAAAACAACAACAAAAAAAAATCCCAACCATAGAGATTATAAGCAATAAACCTTTCACTCCATAGGTGTGCCAAGTCAAGAGTAAAATAGTCTATTACAGTATAATTGCATGATAATCACTATAGTTGTGTTTATTCACTAACCCTAAGTCTCATGGGCAATGCAGTGAACCCAGATTGATGATATGAAAGCAGGAGGTTGTATTTCACCTGAGGAACTCAGTGTCAAGTGCTTAGCACTTTTTGAGTATGACACATGACATTGTTGTGAATAGCAAACAAGCCAATATCCTCCTTCAGGAGAGAACAGTTGCATAGTGATTTTCATGACTTATCTGCTTAGCTATAGAAACTACATGGTACCAGGGTATGAATAACGGTGTACTTTTTTTTTTTTTTTTAAGAGAGAGTGAGAGAGGAGAGAGAGAGAATTTTAAATATTTATTTATTTATTTATTTTAGTTCTTGGCGGACACAACATCTTTGTTGGTATGTGGTGCTGAGGCTCAAACCCGGGTGGCACGCATGCCAAGCGAGCGCACTACCGCTTGAGCCACATCCCCAGCCCTAACGGTGTACTTTTTAGCAGAACTACAGGGATGCTCAGGGACTATGGTGGGCTACCTCTCAGAGAACCTTTTTAAAACTTTTATTTGAAATTACATTGAAAAACAGATCATTTTAGTGAGATCTAACAATTATATTATTTCTTCCTATGCATAAATAAATTTCTTTAGCCAGGTGCAGGGGTGCATGACTACAATCCTACTAGCAGCTTGGAAGTCTGAGGCAGGAGGATCCCAAGTTCAAGGTCAGCTTAGGCAACATAGGGAGACCCTGTTTCAAAATCAAAAATAAAAAGGGCTGGTGTTGTGGCTCAGAGGTAGACCGCTCGCCTACTATGCATGAGGCACTGGGTTCTATCCTCAGCATCACATAAAAATAAAGATACTGTGTCCACTATAACTAAAAAATAAATATTTTTTAAAAGGGGGAGGCTGGGGATGTGACTCTGCAGTATGGATGCAGACTCCTGGTTTGATTCCTAGTACCAAAAATAAAATCATGTTGGAGAACTATATTTACTTATATATACATAAGTGTGTATGTATGTGTGTACATGCTTTATAACTTATTACACACACTGTTTTTGTACTACTTTGATAGAGTTATTTCTAAGAATTCACTTTCTTTTTCTTTCTTTCTTTTTTTTTTTTTTGTACCAGAGATTGAATTGGGCACTGGGCCACATCCCCAGCCATTTTTTCTATTTTATTTGGAGGCAGGGTCTCACTGAGTTGCTTAGTGCCTCACCATTGCTGAGGCTGGCTTTGAACTTGTGCTCCTTCTGCCTCAGCCTCCTGAGATGCTGGGATTACAGGCTTGTTCCACCACACCCGGCGTCTAAGAATTCATTTCTTGCTAATGTAAATAGTCTTGATTTTTTTTCTTGGTGTGTTTTTTATTTGTTGGGTTTTGATTTTGTTTTAGGTACTAGGGATTGAACTTAGGGGTACTTAACCATTTAGCAACATCCCCAGCCTGTGCCAGCCTGTGGGTTTTTTGTTCTTATTGCTGTTTTTAAAAAACTATTATGTATATACCACATTTTCTTTATCCATTCATCCACTGATAAACACCTAAGCTGAAAAAGGGTCTTGTTTAAGTTGATTAGGCACGTCTTGAACTCGAAATCCTCCTGCCTCAACCTCCCAAGATGCTAGGATTATAGGCATGCTCCACTGCACCTGACTCCTGTTTTTTAACTGTTTGCTAATTATTAGTGTATAGAAATCCCATTGTTTTTTATGTGTTTATTTTATAGCCTACCATCCTGCTAATTCCTTTTACTTATTCATAGATTCTTTTAGGTTTTCTATCTAAATAATTATCATCTTTCAATATTTACAGTTCTGTTTCTTTTCTGTTATATGTATACATTTATTTCTTGTTTTACTGTACTGACTGAGGGAAAGGTTATATATACTTCATATGTCAAGTACTCCTAAACATTATCATAAGAAAATTTCAAAGATCGCTTAGGATAAATGTTTCCTTTTTTTAACAGATGATGAACAGACAGGCTCAGGGAAAGACGACTTTCTTTGTTTTTTGGGTTTTTTTAAAATTTTTTTCCTTAGTTGTTGATAGATCTTTATTTTATTTATTCATACATGGTGCTGAGAATCAAACTCAGTGCCTCACACATGCCAGTCAAGTGCACTACCACTGAGCCACAGTCCCAGCCCGGAAGATGACTTATTTAAAGACAAAAAAGCTAGACTCAAAACACCCTTCCCTCTGACCTTAAACAACTGTGATTCTTGTACCTTACTGCTTCCAGATTTGAAAGAAAAAATTAAACATGCAGAGCTCTTTTTTTAAATAGCTAAGAAGAGATGAAACTTTGTAATAGCTTTAAAAATTGTAATTCCTTTTTTTCCTTTAATGTGAACAGTTTTCCAACAATTTTTTTAAATTGGTGTATTACAGTTGTACACAATAGTGGGATTTGTTGATACATATTTATACATGCACACAATATAACAATATTATTTGACTAATAATGTTCCCTAGTATTTCCCATTTCTCTCCTCTCCCCTCCCCCTGATTCCTTTCCCCTATTCTACTGATCTCCCTTTGATTTTCATGGGAACCCCCACCACTTTCTTTTCCTTTTTGCTCTCTAGTTTCCACATGTGAGAGAAATTATGACTCTTGACCTTCTGAGCTTGGCTTATTTTGCTTAACATAATGGTCTCAAGTTCTATCCATTTTCTTGCAAATAACATAATGTCATTTTTCTTTATGGCTGAATAAAAAACTGTTATGTATATATACCACACTTTCTTTATCCATTCATCCACTGATAGACACCTAAGCTGATACCATAGTTTGGCTATGTTGCTGTAAACATGGGTATGCAAGTGTGTATGCATGATGATTTTCTCTCTCTCTCTCTCTCTCTCTCTTTTTTTTTTTGGTACCAGAGATGAACCTAGGGGCACTTAACCCACCCTTTTTAAATATTTTATTTGGAGACAGGGTCTCTCTGAGTTGCTTAGAGCCTCGCTAAGTTGCTGAGGCTGGCTTTGAATTCACAATCCTCCTGCCTCAGCCTCCTGAGCCACTGGGATTACAGGCATGTGCCTCTATACCTAGTCTTTTGAGAAACCTCTGTACTGATTTCCATAGTGGTGATATAGATTATAATCCCACCAGAAGTATAAAAGTGTTTCTTTGTTCCATATCCTCTCCAGCATTTACTATGGTTTGTATTCTTAATGACTGCCATTCTGACTGGCATGAGATGAAATTTCAGTGTAGTTTTGATTTGCATTTATGTGAAAATAATTTTTGATGGCAATATTTTTAACTTTAGGTGGAAAGGAAAAAGAAGAAAACAGAAGAATCACTGAAAGCAAGAGAGTATATGTTTCAAACAAACAACCCAAAACTCCTAAAAA